CGTTTGAGTTTTTTTCATGCCTGTGAAGTTCGAAATTGTGAAAGGAAGGACGCTGACATGCTGTGCGAATGATATGTATGTAGTGCCACTTCAAAGGAACACAATGTTTTTTTTTTTCTTTCTTGCCTTGCATATGAAGGCTATCCAGATTTAACATACTTGACAAAATACTAAAGTACCACAAAGTACAATGAAGAACCGTCAGCTATGAGCTGACTATTGGCCAATACTTTGGCATTCGTACCGATGGTTCGATGCTCACGGTCCACTCTGGCACATCCTCTTGTACCTTCATCACTTTAAGAAACTAGTGCATTGATTTGCAGAAATAGTATCACACAGATCGCACTTCTACATCCGCATTTTAGGTGGACGTTCTCAAATCTTGTAACTGCCGAGAATTTCAGAGTAAGCCTGTATGGTCAACGAAGAAAAACTTGACTATGACGCCCATGAAAATAGCCACATGAACAAAATAGTGCTGATACATATACTGTACCACTGACGAAAATTTTCAATGCGAAGCATTTCTTTGCGTACCACAAGCACTTTTGGCGTCTATCAGCATGTCTGTCTGTCTGTCTATCTATCTATCTTTCTATCTATCTATCTATCTGTCCGTCCGTCCATCCGTCCGTCCGTCCGTCCGTCCATCCATCCATCCATCCATCCATCCATCCATCCATCCATCCATCCATCCATCCATCCATCCATCCTTCCTCTCGCTTACGTCTGAGTGCTCTCGTGATCGCGTGAACCAAATTAGTATAGGAGAATAAAATAATTTTATGAATATGATGCGACGCATACGCCATCAAACACCTTCCACTAGAAAGTGGCATAAACCTGTGGGCGGGTATGTGCCACAGGTGATCAACACTTGAATCTACACAACGGCGAGAACACATAAGAGCAGTTTTAACACGTGAGCGTTAAGAAAAACTTGACGTCGGCAACGCTGATCTGACAAATGCAAAGAATAAATGTCAAAGTCTCAGCAGGAATTGAACCCAAGCATTATACATGGCAATCGAGCATTCTACCAAAAACCCACGCCAGGTCTCAGAACCACTTTTCAATAGACCCTTATGTTTGTGAAACATTAATTGTAATTGCCATGCTGGCTATCCAATTATATCATGATTACATTTGCACTCCTACGATAGTCATGACGTCGGGTTGACGTTAATTTTAAGATGCCATGCACTGAAGTCGATTTATGTAAGAGCATTCAGAGGTACCATCCATCCTCACGAGAACCAGTGCTTCATATCAGCTTATCGCTTCTGTAGTTGCTAATACTCATGCTCCCTGTTGACATCATCGCGCAAGTGCAAAATACTGATTCTACAAACATCTGCAATGTGTGTCTGTGCATGCTAAATTTGTACATATATTTAGCGTCATTTCATGACGTGTCACGATATAAAAATTGTAGCATGATCACCTTCCCCACCCATGCTTCGCATAACGTCGATTATTAAGGTACGTTGGATATGCCAATTTCTTTTTTCAAAAACTGTTGCGGCAACATAAATGGAAAGCTTATCGATGGTGCTTGTGTATCAATATAAAAAAAACCTACAATTTTCTAGAACAAATAGGTGTATTCCTGCTGATATAGCAGAAGCATGAAAAAAACAAGATTCTGTAACTGTTTTGCTCCCAGAAAAGTTATGTGTTCTGATTTCTTTAGAAATGCCGGCATACCTGTGCTTTCTAGAAAAAAAAAATTAAAATGAAGAATAAAACGGCCATTTCGTACGGAACCTCTCCTGCTCTCCATGTATTTACCGATCATCCACATCCTGAGACGTCACACCATTTTCGCAGGCACACTTCTCTGCAACGACTATTTTACAATAAAACCACGTGGCACCGAAGGAAAAAGAAAGACAGAAATATTGCTACTTGAAGTTTTTAGTACACTGTATTCTCGTCGACACATGTATCTTTGTGCGTAATAATTACACATGCATAATTGTAATACATCAGCTTTTTTTTTCAAGTGTTCCTCGTATATTCGAAAAGTACCGATTAAAGTGTATTTTGCTTTTTCCAGTGAATGGCATCTGATCTAGCAGAAGGATAGCATGTAAAAGTTTAAATACGTGCACAATTTACGTTACATGAACTTGATAATCTATACAATGAAGAACATTAGCAACTTTATGCAGCCACTGCATGTTTAGACCATATATCTTACTTTTTAAGCACCCTTGAATGACCCCAGGGTGCTACGTAACTCTTAATGATAATCTTAGCATCGCTGACGTCGTCTGGCAGACATACACGTGCAGAGGGTTCCCTTTCGAAGGGGAGTCAATGGTTAATAGCTGTGCCCTCCTCCCTATTAATGCATTGTATAGGTGCACATTCTAGGCACTAAAGTACGGGACAGACTTCACACACTGACTATTATGGGACAAGGGGGGTGCACACGCCGTGTCCCACATGTGTGCACACCTATGCTGACAAATGTACCTATACTCCATTTCATACATCAGGTGCGACGCTCTGAAAGCTATGCAAGAAGTTCGGCCAGAAACATGTATGACTTTGAGCATCTTGAGTTTAGCTTTCATCGTTGTAAACGCTCGTGCGAGACAAGCACAAACGCGCCTGCAGAACGTCGCGAAAGGCTACAAGTAAAACATCAAGAAATAAGAGCCAAGACAAGCCGTATAATGGGGTGTTTTCATCTACGAGGCCCAAAGCAGAAAGAAAAAAATTAGTCATGTCTCAGATGCAAAAATAATCGTACCAATTATTAGTGCGAGCGCATTCATTAAAAGAATTCTCCCTAGCCTTCACATCGTTGCACTTTATGTAGGAAATGGAGTATAGGAAAAGACCTTCGTAAAACACATGAACATGGGCTCAGAGGTGTGGCTCTTATGTAAGTGCCGTAATAATCTCTTATTAGTTTCGAATATGCATAACCCCCCTTTCTCCCACCCTCCCACTAAGTGCGACACTGAGCTGTGCTGCTACTTGATAATCTGTGTGTTTGTGCAATTACGTCGCATTTGGAAATCCGATCTTGGCGAATATGAGGAATTTCCTAAAGCAAACACTTCGTGGGAGCTTAGTTTGTCATGATTTTGGCAGTAGCACAAAGATGGTGAAAGCAAGACAGGAAACATTGCGAACCAACTGATGGATTTTCCCACGTCATCCCATATACTAGGTGGTCCACGTTATCCTCATAAAGAGTTTTAGAAAAACCATGAGCTCTAGGAGCTTCTAACTCCTCTATATTAGTGTAAATCATCTGTTCAACTAATCATCAACAAGAGGCACTTTATTAAGGTAACCCTTTTATTACAGTTGGAGAGTGTAAAATTTAGCATATAACCTCAGGGTCCTATAATGTTATCTTGTGCTGAAATGTGCCTGGCTGGTTTTGTAGCATAAGCTTTTTGGCTGTGGTTGAGCAGTTTGGCGTGGCAAGAAGAAAAAAAAAACAAAGGACGCACTGGCGCGGTGCTACATCAAGCCAGTGCCAAGATCGCTACATCAAAAAGACGGTTAGCGGCGATGCCAGTGCAGTCAAATGCTTCAAAGCGTTTAGTTGATGTCATGTTCAATTGTCATTCCATGGACGTGAGTGAGTCAGAGAGAGTGTGTTAGTGTATGTCCGTGCATATGCGCATGTGTTTACACTTTAGTGAAACGATGCCGGTTTTAGTCTGCCAGCTGTCACTGGGGCACCTTTCATTGTGTAGTTGAAACAATGGCCACAGTTGGCGGATTGTTGGTGAAAGACGTCTGAATTTGAGCTCCTTGGTTTTCATCCGCCGATTTCCGCCGCCTCGCGCCACATACAAGACACGCGCGAGGCGACGCTGACCGTACATGCGCGAGCAATATTCTCGCTTTTTGAAAGCGGGGATGAGTGGCGTCCTCTGGTATGGTCTTTGAAACTATTGCGAGAAAGAGGCAGTAGAACCGCCACCTTAAGTGTTCATTTTTATGTGTAGATTGAGTTTTGAAGGGTTAAAAATTTAATAAAGCCTATTGAAATCACAGCTTCTTTTGTAATCGTTATTTGCTTGTTAGGCACCATCTAGCAACTCTGATGAGAGCTGTTCTGACGTCTCTATTGTTATGGCTCTTCAAGCGATGCTCAATCATGGCCTGTTTGTTGCTCATCAAGTCAGTACGGGGGCAACTTTTGTGCTGCTTTCATTTGGTGCAAATGATGCATGCTTTGACCATTCGTGCTTATCTGTGCTGCACAGAATGATGCTATGTTTGTTTTATTGTCCATTATATCATTACCTCAATATCATAAAGTTGCATCTGACACGAAAAAAAAAAACTTATGTATATAAAAAAATTAGCTTTGAACATACATATACAACAATGTATCTATTGTAAGACTATTTCTAACATATTTCATTATAAGTAGTAATTGTACCTGTATTCATTACAATATTCTTGACTGCAATTTGAGGGGTGACTTTCCTTGCACCTATGCAAAAAAAAGCAGTAGTATGTACCGAGGGGTTGACTTTAGCTAGCAAAAATTTGCAAGAAAAGCTCGTGTTTGATTTAATTATGTACAATATATCAAAGTTTTACTCTATTAGTGCATGGAGTAAGCTTCGTAAGGTAGAATTTCGTTATTATTTCCTAATAAATCTTTCTGTATATTGTCATCAGAAGTGCTGTGTTTTGCACCAGGGTACCTCTGAGTGTCCAGTCAGAAGTAGAGTGCATTCCAGGTGCTTCATAACATCTTCTTTAGCAAGAAGAATGTTTTCAGCATGCCTTCACAATATTTAAGAAGGATCATTCTGTTTAGTATACACCATTAATACCACCTCTGCAGTATCTTTTTATCTTTATCAATAGAATGTGTTGTTGGGCTTGTTACTTCATTCCTTCCTTTTTTTTGTCTTTGTGGGTTGCATTCTTAATATTTCTTAACCTCTGTTAGCTTTGAAGGGTATGTGCATCTCTGAGGCCATCCTATGGATGCACACCTAACACAGGTCTGGCGGCTGGCAGTCTCTGAGGTGCTTGGACCTTGCCTAAGCCTGAGCTATGTCACAAGAGAGAAGAAACAAAAAAGTGAGTGCTCGCTGTTTTGTTTCTTGGTTTGGCATGTTTTCATTTTCTGTGAGAGGTTGGTATGCTTGTGCAAATAGTAAATTTTAGGTTCGAAGGGAATAGCGGTTTTGTGAAATAGTTTTTTGAGTGGAATTCATTTTGTATCGTGAAAAACAATTTGCATATTTGTCACAGCCCAACTAAACTGCACAATTTTTTTTAATTGAAACAAGGCATATCAGTTTTTTTTCGTTCAAAGAACAGGAAACAACTTTAAATTCAGTCGAACCCTGCTACAACGAACGCCGCTTTAACAAAATTTCCGCTGTAACGAAAAATTCTCGGTTCCCCATCAGCAGTATATTAAAGTTTATGCATGGATATTGATACAGTCGCATCTGATTCATTCAAACATGCTTAATTTGAACTTCCAGTTAATTAGAATTGACACTGTGGTTCTGTCAAAGCTATGTCTATTCCAGTGGGTGAAAACGGTCTGTAATTCGAATGCGCAATCATTTGCAACGGTTAATTCGAACATACCACGCTCCGAAAATGCTCTCAGCACCACGCCCGATCCCGCGGCGGAACCTCTGACACCCCAACACTGCGCACGAAGAAGGAAAAAAAGAAAAGGCTGCAGCGGAATGTATGCTCTCTCTCAAATGCCGATCTGTGACGCACTTGTGCCACGCTTCTCTCTTTTCCGTCCCTGCATGTAGAGACCTTTCTCATTTCAATGCCACGCGCGAAGAGAGAGAGGAAAAAAGAAAACTGTCGTGGAGTGTTGGCTCTCCATCAAATGCCAATCTGCGATGCACTGGTGCCGCGCTTCCCTCTTTCTCGTCCCTGCCGCGTAGAGACCCTTCTCCTTTCAACGCTGCGTGCGAAGAGAACAAAGAAAAAATGCAGTGGAGTGTTGGTTCTTTCTCAAATGCCGATCTGCTTCTCTCCGCGTGGAGGCGCCCCTTCTTTATCTTCACATGCTGGCCACACTGCGGCTGCAGCGCAGAGAGTAGCAGTAAAGACGCAGTCGTCATTTTCAGTGTCGATGGTGGACATTACCGCACGTTACTTCTCTTGCCAGGAGAATGCTGAAGCCGAAGTAGAAATGCTTTGCAAGCTGCATTCGAAACTGATTGACTCGCTGCAAGACAAACGTGTGCAGAAGTGGATCATTGATTACTTAAATTAATGACCAATGTCCTGCAATTTGTGACTAAATGTAAGTCTTCTGAAACTTCCCTCTCGTGTGTTAGCTCAATGCATATGCGCCACTGCATGGTGAGCTCTCCATTCATTTAGCTTTGATTAATTCAAACTTCTTTTGATTTGAGCAAGTTTTCAGGCCCCTTCGAGTTTGAATTATCGAGATTCGGCTGCACTTGACTGCTGCCACAACTTGGCAGCATAAAAGAAAAAAGAAGACAAAGCCAGTTTTGGTTGTTGCTGAACTGGCGCCATCTTGCTCACCGAGCTCTGGGCATCGTAAATAAGTTATGAAAAAAGTTACTCGTAATATTATTGGTGGAGGTTGACCCGTACTTCAATGGAGATGCGCAGTGGTCGCAACGCCGACGACCCCTCGACTGCTTTGACTGCTGGTACTTCCTCTCCGCCAATCTTTTCAGTCCAAGCCACGACCTGCGTCACACTCCTGCACCTCGGGGATCCTGGAACTTTTTCTGGTGATGGTACCATCGATACTGATGCATGGCTGAACCAGTGCAAGCGCGTCAGTGCTACTCACCGCTTGGATTGCACGTTCATTTCATGCTCGTCAATGTTTTTTTCCACCTCGGTGGCACTTCCCGAACATAGTTTGAAAGCCACAAACACGAAATAATGAGCTGACATTTCTTCAAAGGAAAGATCCATGACCTTTTTGGCGATTCACCTGGTCATCAGCTTGCTGCGAAGAAGGCTATCGTCAAACGGGCTCAGACTTATACTGAATCCTACGTGGCCTACATTCTTGATGTGTGAAATCATCCCAACCGATTCAACAATGTCATCGTCAGCTCCGAGCGACACCATTCACTTGGCTTGGCTTAAACCTTATCACTCCCCTGGGACTTCATCTGCGTAGATTAAAGGGACATTAAAGTTAAATAACAACTTATGTCAGAATTCAGGAGATTTGCTTGTTGGGCAAGTTGGTGCATACTTGGGTAACTACAAATGAAGCCACAAAACGTCGAAGTCAGAATAAAAGCAGAGTGGCAGAGACGGAGAGCAGAGACGTGGCACGAACAACTGACGTTTGTTTCAGAAAAACTCCTCCTTCCAAGTCCGTGTAATGTATGCCCAAATAACAAACCAAAAAAAACTAATCTAAGGAGATCACCTCTGCACTAGAAACATATTCTTTCCTGGTGACACACACCGCAGCTGCACTAACACATTTGTCTGGACCAAATTTCCAGATATGGAATGCCTTAATAATCTCCCTTTCTTGCTGCGTCTTAATCTTACCTAAAATTAACCTCATTTGTTAGTGCCATGCCTCAAGTCTCTGTTTCTGCCGCTCCTCTTTTTTCCGATTTCAACATTTTGCGGCTTCATGTGTAGTTAAGTAGTTATGTCAAAGTGATAGCTGAATGTATGACAATGTCAGAAACGACAATATTATCAACAGCAGTGCCATACTTACCGAGAAATCAAGGTAAATGCACGAGAACACATGCGCCACGAGTAGGACATTAACGAAATTATTGCGATGAAGTCAGACTTACCACCTACAATTAATCACTGGTAATCGAACTAGCTGTACTAAATAAAGAACCTTCTGTGCATCAAGAGACCTAATATAATGCTGCTTAATTGTTCCTGTTTGATTCATGGAAAAAAGAATTGCTGGACGGTAATATGGGTGGTGGCTGCGGGGGCTGCATTTTCGATGGAGGCAGAAATGTTGTAGGCCCGTTCACTCAGATTTTGGTGCACGTTAAAGAACCCCTGGTGTTCGAAATTTTCCGAGCCCTCCACTACGGCGTCTCTCAATCATATGGTGGTTTTGGGACGTCAAACCCCACATATCAATCGATCAATATGGGCAATGGCATGAGCGATTCAAAAGTTCACTTTTTGCCTGGTTAAACTAGACAGGTTGTGCCATCTAGCGGGGCCCAGTTGAACCAAGCACACCTGCCATCTCGGAGGTCAAGGCAGAAAATTGTTCAATGACCGTAGTTGCTGCTCTCTCTCTCGCCACTTTACCTAGTGTTGGAAGTAGGGTTGTCAGATCCTCAAAAAGAAGAGCCACAAAATTGAGCAGAGTAGCCAGAACAACAGCCAACCGGCAGCCATTATTTTATTTTGGAGCCAGGAAATTAGCCAAACGTTTCAATTTAGTTGAATTTCTATGACATTCTGATGCTTAAAAATACAAAAATATGCATTTTAGCCATGTTTCTCAGATCAAAATACAGTAAAAGAAAAGATCAGTTCACTTCCTGCATGCGGCGTTATGACTAGAAAATTGACAAGTGTACATAATTGAGTTCACTTTTGCTAGCATGCTCCGCGGCATTGTTAATGCAGTGGTAAGAAAGCTGTACCAATCGTGCCAACCTGCACCAATTGGAAATTACTGTACCGTACTGCTTCAAGAGGTTCTTTATTGCCTAATTTGTGCCATTGCTGCGCCACAAGGTGGTTTTAGAACCGGAAGTAATGTTGACAGCACCTGTCGTAAGCGGACATTACGTGATAGTCGCCATATTGTACACATGCGCTGCTACATTTGCGTTCAGTTGTGCTGCTGTAAAAGCACTAAATCACCTATCAATTACTGTGACTTTTGCGCAATTGCACCTGAATGCCTTTTTTGATAACTGTGAGCAAAAAATGAAGGCGATGTGGCGATTACCAAAAGGCACGCCAGTATGACTTATCGCCGACAAAAAGCCTACGTGTTTAGCGTAAAGCCGCTTGAAGCCTACTGCGCGTTTTTAATAGTTGGCGTCTACCTGAGAGCACTGAGGAGCCGATTGCTGCTGCCTGAATCGTTGTGCTGGACCATCTTCAGCGTGCACCACTTTGCACAAACGAAAGCAGCTCGCTGTTGCAGAGTCGAGCCTTGTGGAGCGTGGGCACGGAGACAGCAAGCATATAGGTATATAGCACACTCCTTCATGAGGCGACTGCCCAAACGTGCCTCCGTTTTCTGCCTGGACCTCTATAGCATCGCTTGCGGAAAGTTCGCATTGTCACTGTAACTCAAAAGGCTTCTCGGCACATCTGTGCATGGTCTGAAGAGGAGTGGGTGAAAGTTGCTCGGCACAATGTGTATGCCAAATATATGTGAAGCACTGCACTCAACTAGCTAGTAGCAATCACCTCCCTGCGACCGCACTGTGCCTAAAGAAACTGTCAGTTTTTGCTAAGTAGCTAATCACGGCACACATTTATCGCAGACAGCCAATTATGTCTGTTTTGTTCCTATGTCAGTCACTGCACTGGCTGCGTATCCCGGACCCCACAATAGTTTCGAAATGCTCTTTGGTGTCGCTATCGCTTGCCATCGGACGGTCGTGCAAGAATGCCAATCATTTCTGAACATTGGCGAAAAGAAACGAATGGCTTCCTGGTGGGCACATCAGGAAATATTTGCTTTGGCACTATATTTATACCTTTTTTAACAGTGTTGGCACAGTAAAGAAACGCAAATTGGTACTTTGTCATAACTGTACGCTAAGGGGGGAGCCAGGGGGGGTGAGCACAAAGCCAGCCTTCATACATTGGCATAACGGGGAGGGGAGTGAGAGGGGCTCGGAAAGTCTTCCCCCACTCATTGACATGATAGAGAAGAGAGCGCTGTGATGACCCTTTGCCCCCCCCCCCCCCCCCCCCACCGCCCTGAACAATGTTTGAGGGGGAACCCTGCAAATCCTTATGTACTTGGTGGCTGATGCATACTACGTTTAGTGCGCAGTTAGCTGTATTCCCGGCAGGTTCCACAGATGTGTTTACGTATGAACGAGGTTTTACTGTGACAAGCTTTGAATGTGTCTGTGTTT